ATCTATAGCCCATCCTGTTGTGGGAAAAGTGCCAGATAGTCAAATCAATCACCACGGAGCCTGAGCTGGGAGACTCTCAGGGGGAATTTAATATTATTTATATTATTTAATGCTGGTTTTCTGAAGAATATCGTGGACTTTCTGTTAATACTGGGTCAGGGTCTGACTGCACTGCAGGCCACTGGAGAGGTCAGCCAGTGAGCTTGTAATAATAATAATAATAATAATAATAATAATAATGTCCATGACTACATCCTCACAGAATAAATAAGAGCTGAATGGCCTGCAGCTTCCAGCAGTGTTCCTCCCGCAGCGCAGAGCGGCTCTGTGCTGCCTGGCTGACAGATGGGACTCGGCCGATGCTCACCCTCAGCTGGACTCCACTGGACTGGGGCCGCAGCCTCCACTGGCCCCCAGCTTACTCCATTAACGCAGCTCCTTTGACCCCCACTGCGACACCCATCCACCCACCCATCCATCCATCCACTGCTGGACGCACAGTGTAGAGCTACAAAACTAAAACGCCTCTGCTCTCCCTTTTACGCACAGGACAAAATAAATGTTGAATTGGATTTTTAGAAAAAATAAGAAAGTGGCAAATGGAAACCGCTGAGCTATGCCTGTCGTCTAAAAAAACACGTATGCCATGTTTCCCCTCCCTCTACTTTTGTTTTCGTCAAGTATGATTTCAATAACACAATGGGGGCTACACCTCGAAACTGCGTCGACTGGAGTCACAGTGCTGGCCATGTATCCTCGGAGAACACAACACAGGCTTATGTTCCTTTCGCTCTGGGAGAGGAAAACAAATGTCCTGTCCTCCCCTCACTCACTCTCCGTGTCTCACAGATTCTCTGCAGATATTGTGTGAGTACTCACTGCAATCTATTATACATAAAACACCACTATATCGCTTCATAGTCCAGTGATTTATATATAACCTCGGGGATAAATAAAAAGGATAAACAAGTCCTGGAGGAGCGGTCCGGCTGAGTTCATTGGACCGGGGTCTGGACCCCGTGGTGCGGCGGCGTGTCCCCGTACACATCCTCGCTCCCTGGCAGAGCTCCTCCGGGAGGAGTCATGCGTTTCTCCTTCTGTCTCCTGTTACAAAACCAAACCCTCACCACCTCCTTCTCCAGGTGCAGACTGTCCGCCAGGCCGATTATTTCCGACGCGGCCGGTTTAGGGCACTTCAAAAAATGGCTCTCCAACGCTCCCTTTACGCTTACCTCGATGGAAGTCCGTTTTTTCCTTTTCCTCCCCTGCGCTGCGATTTTGTCCAGGCTGGTCGGGCTGCCCGAGGTGGAGTCCGCCTCCTCCAGCCACTTGTTCAACAGAGGCTTCAGCTTGCACATGTTTTTGAAGCTGAGCTGCAGGGCCTCAAACCTGCATATTGTGGTTTGGGAAAACACATTTCCGTACAGGGTCCCCAGGGCGAGTCCCACGTCCGCCTGCGTGAAGCCCAGCTTGATCCTCCGCTGTTTGAACTGTTTGGCGAACTGCTCCAGGTCGTCCGAGGTCGGCGTATCCTCGTCCGAGTGGTCGTGGTGGCTCCCCGGCTGGTGCTGGTGCTGATGCTGGGACGGCGGGTGGCCGTGGTCGCTGAGGTGCGGGCTGTGGTGGTCGTCATGACTGTCTCTTAGGTTGTGGTGGTGCATCCCCTGCCCGCTGCTCGGGATCAGCCCGTTCACGCTGAAGCCCGGCTGGGAATAAATAAGGCTTTGGCCGTTCGTCGTCGCCATGCTCGGTATGTGCGCCGCGGTGGTGGTTCTCCACGCCCGGCCGTCGTGGTGGTTCCCGTGCGTCTGGTGCACCAGGTGGGGCGGCCGCGACTGGTGCTGCAGGTTGCTGCTGGAGTTGTGCATCTCGTCCCGGGCGCCCTGCACCGCGGGTTTGATGTCCTGCTCCGCGCCGAGCGGGCTGGAGGACCACGGGGCTCCCTCTCCGTGGGACAGCGCCGTGATCCACTGGTGTGCGTGGCTGAGCGTGTGGCTGTTGCTCTGGAGCGCGTAGTCGCCCTGCAACAGGCTCTGTGCGTCCCGGTACGCCGTGGCTTGCTGCATGCTGCCAGGCTCCGAGTGCACGATGGATGCGCTGGAGGTGAGTATGTTGTAGTGGTTAGACGCTGCGGTCGCCATGACTTTCGGAGCCGGACTGGTCGCTCTTATTATAGGAACCTCGCATTTGACAGATCCTCTCCTGCCCACAGGCGGCTCCCAGGCGCTCTGCCAAGTGTACGCCGAGGCGCACCTGGATTCCGCCCCGCCCCTGCCGCTCATTGGACGTGCAAAGATGATGGACGTGGTTACCAGGGGCAACGGTGCGGCGATTGGCTGCGGGGAAGTGTCCGCAAACACTACTCTCTTCGTCGGAGAGGTGCGAGTTGAGGCTCCCGTGGATGCGGAGAGCCGGAGTGCAGCGTGGGGAGACGGAGCACCGGGATGAGCTGTGCAACTGTAAGATACAGTTGATTTACTTTGATAATCATGTTGTATCAAGACTCTGGCTGTAGGTGCAGACTAGTTCGTGGAGAGCAGGGTTTCCTCTGATGTGTATATGTCTAATCATTGGGCTGCTTTTTGTTTTCAAGAGTTGGCTGTGATTACGCGCACGTTTATGCCACAAAAGGCTGATTCTGGAAACGTGTGTGCAACATCCCGATGTGATTAGACAGCGTCAACTTTTTCAGTGCAACAAAGGAAGCTGGATTTCAGATTATGATGAGGAGCATGTTCTGTAATCTGCAGAATACAACAGGTCAGGCTGCAAACTGGAGCTGCTCGACAGAAAAGTACAGATGAGTGTTTTCACGAGTTCTGCTGAAACGTTATTAGCTGTATGCATTTGAATTAATACAATAGTATTATTTTGTGCAGTGTTATGTGTGAGTGTAAATGTGTGTGGATGAAATTATTGATGTAACCTGATTCTTAAGGAGAATCTCTATCAATCAACATTACTTATTCTTATTAAAGTTCAGATTTAAATTTGGACATTTTTGCCAATAATGTACGTGTGAGACAAAATAATCATAATTATAATATAATAATATACAGTAATTATAATAAAATGCTTTTAAAACAGCAGATGAAACACACATTGTTTTTTAGCCTGACCTCACCATGATTTTCAGGATGTCAGCCCTATTGTACAGTGTAGGAGGAATTAAACCACGTAAAAAGATAAGAGAAAAAACTCAGACACGATTAAATCAAATCATTTTATTTTAAATAAAAGATCCTGAAGATAAAACAGCAACAAATTGGATTAAATTGCGACTGAGCAGTACATGGACCTCGTTGTTGACATGCAGCCTGCTCCTGACTGCACCTGATCTGCATTCAGAAGATGCAGGTTTTAAGATTTATTGTTTGTTCAAATGGAGCCATTCGTCATTTGAAAAGGTGACACCTACACTGAGTGCTAACATCAGTCTGTTATTTTCTTTTCAGTGTTTTTGCATTTTTTAAATAATTAATTGGTTAATTGGCTGCACTCTCAAATACAAATAAAAATGCAGACTTGTTTATTTCCCCCCACAGTGAAGTTTCTTATGTCTTGAATTAAAAACTTTAAACATCCTATGAAATAATCAAATAAAGTTTTGGTTCCAAATAGGCTGTAAAGTCAATTTTACAAGCTCTCATCTCAGTAAGTTGTGACTACACATCGAAAAAAAGAAGGTGCCTGGATTGAGGCAGATGAGACTTTGTATCAGGACTGACTTAAAAGATTTATATATATATATAAAAAAAATGCCATTTAGTCTCTGCAATGTTCCTTTAGTAAATGTAGATTTGTGTGCTCTAAATGGTTGTTTACAGCACGGTATAGGTTCTGTGTGGGACCAGCAGAGCGTGGTGCAGCAGCACTGGGATCCTTCCAGGATTCTTTTTATCACCACGAGATTCAGAAATGGTTTTACTGGTCGTATATAAACAAAGTATTTTATAGTTAATAGTGTGTGAAAAACCTCTTTGGCCACTCATCATTCCCTTAAAGTGAGGAGAGACACAAGTGTAGAGGAGGATTAAGTCTAGACTCAGGCCTCTGGTCCAGGGGTAAGGAGGCCAGCTTTCCATCCCGTCCCAGCTGTCGTCCCCCTCGGTGTCAGCTTCGGGGACCAGGACTTTGTCCAGAGAGGGGACATTCCTGGCCGACCACTGCTGGTTGCCATAGGGAGAGGTAAATGAAACAACGGCAGTTGCGTCGCTGCCCCTCGCCCCCCTCCAACCCACACACCCCGTTCCTGGACTATCTAAAGGCCTCTATTTAGAGAGAAAGGCTCTCTGGTGTGGGGACAAAGCCTTCGCAGGGATAAAGGAGGGAGGAGTAAAGAGCACAGGGCCCTGAGCGGGAGAAAGGGCCCGAGCAAGTGAAAAAGATGAGAGAGATTATGTCTGTCCTCAAAGCTGCTCCTCACACTCCAGTGAGATAAAGCAAACTGTGGGAAAAAAGAAATTACAAACAAAACTTCGAATGCCAACTTTCAGCTTCTGAAGCAAACCCTTAATTGTGAATGTTCAGATGTATTAATAATTCCTCCTGTATATGTGTGATTAAAAAGCACTTTTAGTTTAAGGCCTATAACAATTCACTCCACCAGAAATAAAGTAATACACACTGCCCACAAATTAAACCTATAAATCAACGCAGACTGTTCTTCAATATCCACAATTTATAACTTCCAAACTATGCAAATGACTGAAACTGTAATTAAACATTTTTCTTTAACAGCTTGGACCTGGGAGTAAAATTAAAAGTCAATAAAAAAAGCAGTTTATAAGAAATATTTCCAACAAAAATAATTCAAAATGTGAAAACAGAAAAGTCCAGAAAGTGAATGTGCACGCAGACAAATCATTCTTAGCATCGTTAATTTATTCAAAAAGTTCACACAGGGACACATGTCATGTGAGGTGTGAGAACAATACAACGGCATGCAACAAAGGACAAGTGCTAATTATAAGATGTTCTCTATTCTCTGCTTTATATGACCTGTGTTAGATTTTGATTTCACAAGCTGCTTTAAGCTGTTTTTCACCATGCTGCTTTAAACTGAATAAACTGTAATTATCTTTGAATTAATGGACATCAAATTGCAAAATAAACCCATAGTTATGTTATATTCATCCTTTAAAGGTACATTGTGTGTCTCAAACATAGAACCCCCCCAACATTCCCACATTTGGAATATAATTTATTCATATGATTGGTAATTAACATGTCCTTTGTTGTGAGGACAAACAGTAAACAACAGCACAAGTTATCAATGTGTTGGTCTGTTTACATGAATGATATCAGTAAACAGTGCTACAAACCAGGCCTACAGAATCACACAGAATGCTTATATTCCCTGTGTAACTGCAGCTCTTCAATTAAGCATTACTGATTGGGCCTTTAATGGATCTCATTTCATAGGCTAATAATCCTTTTTGGATGTGAATCCAGCTGCACTGGCGGCACACGCAGAACCCGGGATTTAAGTCACATGCGGAAAAGTTTCCAGACACGGTTCAGTAATTCATCCTGGTAATATTGAACATTATTGTGGCGTAACATTGAAATCGGCCAAATCAAAAGAACATTGTGGTAATTAGGCTGTAATTCAAGGAATTACCACATCGCCACACAGGCTTAAATAGTCGTGTTGGGAGAAACGCAAAGCACATTATTTTAATGGTGTAATATGCAAACTATGGCTTGTTTCAATTACAGGGCTTAACAATGCATAAATGATGCGAGCCTTGTTATTTGGACTGCAGGGTCCTCAGTTATTCAGTCACTCAGAGGGGCCAGAGTTAGGGACCATGCTGCCTCCTCTTCTACTGTAAAAATCCAGAGCGGAGCGGTGAGGGCTGCTGCCAAACTACATTTAAGGGAATAAAAATGAACAGCGGAGAATGTAAGCGTTAAATTAACAGTAGGATAATTATATGACCCGTGTGCTGTAAAGATTCAATTTCTAACGCTCTAATTAGGCGACTGTCTCCCCATACATCAGCTCACATCCCTCTGCCAATTTCTCACCAGAAAGCGTCCTGCGAGCGGAAATAATTAGATTTTATTAAGACACGGCTCGTGTAATGAAGAAAATCAAAGGAGCGCATGGTTAAATATGATATGTTTTTAAAAGCATCAATTGGTCCACACACAGTCCACTGAGTCTCATTTAAAGAGGGACAGTTGGATCCACAGAGGAGGAGATAGACTGGAATCTGTCTGTGTGTGTGACTCATTTAATGAACTCTCCACTGTCGGCTGTAGAGGGAGGATACAGTAAGTCGTACATATAGTATATAAAATCATTTTAACAGAGATTTTTACAGAGACCACTGGGCTATGGCTGTGTAATAAAGAGAAATAGAGAAAATTGCCCAAAGTAGAAAATTAAAGTCCCTCTCCACTCAAAAATACGATTTGTTTATCGTTCCTTGACTTGGTTGTTTGATTGTCACTGTGCAGGTTCATGCAGGTGCAGAGTGACACTATAGGCTGTTTTCACACTGGTGTACTGAAGAGGTGCTCACATGAGCACAACACCGTCCAATATACAACTCACATCTATGACGTGGAGACTTGAATAATCCGCATGTATCAAAATGGACTTTCAAGCTCTGTAGGATCTTGTGCTGAGTAATCAATGTAATTGCAATTTTAACTATGTAAGGACACATTTTTTAAAATGTTCTTAAAAAGGGTTAGGGAACACACGTTTCCAGAATCAGTGACATCTTTAAATCACTTGTAATTTCTAAACAACCGTTCAAAGCCCAAACTTAGTTTAGTATCATAGAAGTTGAGAAAAACAAGCAAAAGAGAAGGTTTGATATATATATATAAATAAGTCAGACTAATTTCTCAATAACGTACAATGAATCAATCTTAACTTGTTATCTGTACTGTTACTGTAAGGTATAAAAATTCAAGTAAGAACAATAAGATCTGAACTTCAGTATTTATCACCATAAAGACACCAAACATCCCTGTAGGAGCATCACTGATTTATTCCAGTCTCATCGTCAGGGAACAATCATGATTAAATGGATTCCTCTTTGCTCTGCAGCTAAACCACCTGCAACAACTTTGACTTGTTTGGCTCAGACCTCAAAAATCAAACTGAACCAATGTTATTCAATTTAAAAATGTATCTTTGAACGATCAGCTTTGTTGCAATGGTCTATATAGTTAAATGCACTTTTTTCCATCAGATCATTTCTCACAGTCTAAGACGTCATGTTGGTGTTTTTTTTTTACTTCAGATGAATTACTCAGATAT